GACTAATCGTTTGGCAGAGAGAAGGCATGCCTTTAATGAGGGATATCTGAGCTAACGGTCAGTATCTGTGAGTACAGTACGACTTGTAAGGAAAGTTTTAGTGCTGTACGTGTGGCACAGGTATGACCGAAAGGTGTACGTGATGTGAGCACAGGTATGATGACTCGGCCAGAGTATAGCCAAGGTTAGCAATTCATAGGCCGTTGTAACAATGTTTAATTCTATAAGAATATAATAAAGATAGTGTTAATGCCTTGCTTACAGTCTAAAGCAATTACACACTAATAATTTGTAATGATGTCAATAATAATGTAAATATAAATAATATTTTATTCAATTTTATTCTTTGAATAAACATTTATAAAATGTTTGTTTGAAGTTATTTATTTGAAAAACACAAAATTGATTCTTTATAAGTACTATAACTTTAAGTGATATTTATTTACTCGTATTATTATTGATTGTTACAGTTTTCATTTATTTTTATTATATATAATTAAATCACTATTCAATTGTGACATTCAATATTATATTAAAACATGATAAACATATCATTGATTGTATTCAGGATCCAAATGATTATATTCAGGATCCATTTAGTTGACAATATTTCCGTGAACTGAACCGCAGAATAGGTCACCGGAGTCGCCGATAAGCCGGGCCTTGATATCAGCCTCGATGGTAGGGGTGGTCTCAGGTATAGTCAGATTATACGAGAACTTCTTTGTCTCTCCTGTTTTGACGGGACAGGGAGTGTCGTGACAGCCGTCCCTATCAAAGCCAGGGATCAGTTTAGACAAGTCGATGTCTATACCACCGGCTAGTATGGCGTGTAGGTCCCATGTAGCCTTGGTACTATCTTGGTCTATTTTAAATCGAGTATTAATAAAAAACCTATCATATTTAAGTTATTTATTTACTAGGATTTAAATGTATTACTCACTGGCTTTGTAATGAATGTCTATCTGAACCTCTTTTCCCTTATGAAAAATACAGGGACTGGTAGTACAGCCGCTGATGGCTACGTCTATCACCTCTTTGTGGGCTATAATATAATAATTTTAAATTAAATAATAATAATTATAATAATTTATATAATTCATACCGCAATCAGTATAGGGAACACTGGCTGAAACAGCAACAAAGTAAAGTACCAGGCCAATAATTTTCAACATGGTGTGTTTTAATATGCAAATTTGAATTTGTTAATTGTGCTGAGTTAATTGATCTTGGTGGAGTTAATTGTACTAAATTCATATAAAATATACCCTGATCAAATTTTTTTGTTAATTCTAAATAGATTATCACATTATACTGGTATATACCTGGATAATCTTATCAGACACATGCACGTTAAAATGGTGATCCCATTGTTATCATAGAAAATAACTATATTTCGGAATCGTTTTGTAAAGTATAAAAATTATTATTGTAAATCCTATTTAAACAAAATTAATTTAATTAAATTTATTTTATAATAGTGCAAATATTTTCTAAGTTTAATACTATTAAAATCAATTTACCTTTTTATAAATTGTTGTACATAATATTTATAAGTATTAAATTAAAAGTTTATTAATGAATAAAAACTGAAACTTACAAATAAATACAATAATATATTAAGACAATAATAGTTTTTAAAAGATTATTACTAACTATATTCAGTTTAATTTTTAAAAAAACCTAAACATTTAAAAAATATAATACAATTAATAATTAATCAAGTAATTTGTTATAAACGGTAATTGTCCATATCACAAATGATTGATGACTTGATTGCAATCATTATTTGCATTTCAACACAATTTTCATTCACATTGATTCAAATGAATTGACTGAAAATCTCATTCAAATGTATGGTTTGACTGAATGTTTGTGTATTTGGGAAACACTTATCATATGAAATAAACGATTCGTTTATATTTCACTAAATATTTACTCACATGTATTGCTTATTGTATTTTAGTACAAAAGTTAATTTTTACAATAAATGTATTACAAAATAATAATTCTTATATAACAGAAAGTTAAAAAATATTACAAAATACCTTATTTATCCAGATGAGTCTACTTAACAAAATGTTATATAAATTAAAGCTATAAATTTTACAAATTAGTAAATTACAATTTTATTTAATATAATTATTGTATTTAATATGTCTGTTAAGTTTGTGGTAATTTTGGCATTTTTAATTGTATGTGCCCAGGGGGTTTACGGTAAATGGGATGTAGACAAAGATGGAGTGGGCGTAATATATTGCGGTAATCTAACTACATTAAATATTTTAATTAAATGACGCGCAAAAAATATATTTTAATTTTAAATAAGATTTCTATTTTTATTAATATAATTATTATAAAACCTATTTTAAAAACTATTATTTCTTAAAATATATTCAAAACGATAGCCGAATGTAAGAATAGCACCGAAGGGGTCAAAGTTATCGCAACATTCAAGCAATGTATTGGTGCCTACCCTACGGGACAGGAGATCAATAAGCAGGGTGACCAGCTTAAGGCTAAGGGCACCGATACGTGTATCACTGAATTTAATAAATACATAGACTCGACAAAAGGCAAGGAGGACAAGGATCAGGATAAACTGAAAGCATGTGCTCAATCATTGTTCAAGGCAAATGAAGTTATTAAAAAATGTTAATTATGTATTTTTATTGAAATATACAATTAGTATATTAATTAATTTTAAACAATAAAATTTGATTATTTTTAACAAAGATAAATATATACAGTATTACACAATAAGTGTGATTATTTATGAATTGAGAAGAATTTAATGAAATAAATAAAATTGATAATAATTTCTGAAATTAGCAATACATTTGTAATAAAATGTTTATAAAATAATTTTATTATAGTTTTAAAAAATTAATTTCCAAATTAATTAATGTTCACTAAAATAACATAAAATGAAATTTTCTAAAAACTGTAAAATTGTATATAATTTAAAATCATATGGACAAATATTATCAACTGTTTAATTTTTTAATGTACTAGTATTTTAAATTAATTAATCATTTATATGATCAGAATATATTTTTATGAAACTATTTTTAAAACTTATGTCAAAAATGAATATTTTGTTAAAATTGTAATATTTATGTGATATAATTGAATAATAAATTTTGTTAATTGTGCAAGCAACC